CACAGGTTGAGAACCACTGATCTAGTCCATCTACTGCCACCCAGCCACCACGAGTGCTTCCACTGGTATTTGAAATACTGGTGTCAGATCTTCTGGCAGCATGGAGCAACCCTGGAGAGACAAAGTGGGGAGCCCGGCTCTGCCGCCCGCTGGCCAGGCAGCACGGGGTCCAACCTGAACGTCTGCAGGAGCCACGGCTTTCCAGAAGGCCCCAGCCTCAAAGAGCTTGCAGAGGGCAGCAGAGAGAGGGGTGCAACAGCCGGCCCCCCACAAGAGGCACTGACAGCGCAACTGCAAGGATGCATGCCAACAGATGGACAGTGAGGAGGGCAGTTTCCCGTCCGTTGTGCACGGGGTCACTGTGGGTGGGAAAGGGCCCCCTGGCACCTAACAACAACGCAGAATGGTGGCATGCAGACTCGGGGATGCTTGGTTTCTGTTTCAAGAAAATCCTCTTATTCCGCCGATGTTGGTGACGGCTTGGCACACAAGGTGAGTGTCAAGTGGGATGCTGGTTTAAACAAAACACGTCCTTGTGATGAATTCCGCCTGTTTCTTCTTACCTCTTTCTTTTGTACAGGCCTGCCGGAGACGTTTAACTTTGCGCGTGTGCAATGCAAGACGCTGGGTTAAGCGTCGGAAGCAAACCGAAAACTCAGCAGTTCAAACCCATTGGCCGCTCCTTTGGAGAAAGATGAGGCTCTCGGCTCCGGAAAAGATTGACAGCCATCCTGCTTGGTCCCGTAGGGTCGCAAAGAGTTGGAATCGATTCCAAACACACACACGTGTACACACACACAAACACAAACTTACACCATTGAGTCAATTCCCCTGTGGATTTCCAAGACGGACTCTTTATGGGAGTGGAGAACCCTGTGTTTCTCCCAAGGAGCAGCCGGCAATTTCAAAGGGCTGACCAACCACTGAGCAGCCTAATGAGTCACCACCAGGGCTCCTCCCATCCGCTCAAAGACAGTGGGTCTCTGCCTTACACTCTGTTTCTACGACACAGGGCTGTTTCAGGGAATACCTGCTTCGGGCAGCAATTTTCTGCATTTCTCCAAGCAGGTGTGGCCGTGGTGCACCTGTCATAGTTCCCAAATTGAACACAAGATAAAGTAATATAGGTCACTATTATGAAAAGCAGGTGGCTGAAGATATGGGTGTTATAGCACAGTGTGGTGAAGAAACCAGATGGTGCCCAGTGTCTGGGGTCTGAAAGGCTTGCCTTCAAAAGAGCAGCCATCCTAAACAAGTGTGGTGAAGAAAGCTGATGGTGCCCGGCTATCAAAAATATAGCGTCTGGTGTCTTAAAGACTTGAGGGTTAACAAGCAGCCATCTAGCTCAGAAGCATCAAAGGCCACATGAAACAAAGGACACCAGGCTGTGTGATCACGAGGTGTCAAAGGGATCAGGTATCAAGCATCAAGGAACAAAAATCACATCACTGTGAATGAGGGGGAGTGCAAAGTGGGGACCCAGAGGCCATTTGTGGGCAACAGGGCATCCCCTTACAGAGGGTCTCAGGGAGGAAACAAGCCGGTCAGGGGACAGTGTAGCAATGATGGACCATACAACTTTCCTCTAGCTCTTAAATGCTTCCTCCCCACCCCACACACACCCACTATCATGATCCCAATTCTACCTTACAAATCCATCTGTATACACTGGTACAGATGGGAACTGGAAACATAGGGAATCCAGGACAGATGATTCCTTCAGGTCCAGTGGTGAGAGGGGGTGATACTGAGACAGTGGAGGGAAGGTGGGGTAGAAAGGGGGAACTGATTACAAGGATCTACATATAACCTCCTCTCTGGAGGTCGGTCAACAGTAAAGTGGGTGAAGGGAGACGATGGACAGTGTAAGATATGACAAAATAATAGTGACTTGTAAATTATCCAGGGTTCATGAGGGAGTGGGAAGGGGGGAGGGAGGGGAAAAATGAGGAGCTGATGCCAGGGGCTCAAGTGGAAAAGCAGGTATTTTGAGAATGATGATGGCAACAAATGTGCAAATGTGCTTGACACAACGGATGGATGTATGGATTGTGATAAGCATTGTACGAGCCCCCAATAAAATGATTTTTTTAAAAAAAAGCAGCCATCCAAGTGAGGCGTCAACCAAGTGCCCGTGGAAGAAGCACTTCAGCCTGTGTGATCCAAGGATTGTACGTCATGGGATCTAAACCTGAAGGAGGCAAAGGCATCTGAGCTTCAACTGTGAGCACCCAGTTTACAGGCAGCTGTGGGTGACAGTGGAAGCCCAAAATCATTTGCAGGGTCCACACAGGGATGAAGTCGCCAGTGAATCCCCCAACCACAGTCAAGGAATGCGCATCGCCTTGCTGTCAGCCAGAGAACATTGTGAGGTCAATTGTGGCAGATGCAGCTAGGTTAAAGTGCCATGTTTTATCATGTGATCTCCCATCGGGGCTATTTCTAAGTCATTTCTGTTTTCAATATTCGCTTTCTTTTCGATGGAGTTTTCCTATGTTTTGTCTAGTCCCTGTTGGTGGTGGGTTTTGCCTGCTTTGTGTGTATGAAATCCAGGAGAGGTAAAATCTATAGAGATAATAAGTGCATCAATATTTACCTAGGGTCATGGCAAGCGGAAATGAGGGACAATGGGGAGCCAACAACAATGAGTAGGAAAAGTTGTTCTGAAATTGATTGTGGCAATCAATCACAAGTCTTAAAATGCCTGGACGGCTAGCTTGTATGGTGTGTGACGGATGTATCCATAAAAATCATATTTTAAGCATGAGTGGTGCTGTGGGCTGGCACCATCAGCAGGGGGCGCCAGAGCCTTCCTTTCTGAACTCCCTCTGAAAAGACTGGCATTGCCAATCCCACAAAAGCAGCCGGAGAGACGTTAAATGAACACATCTGCCGCCCAACACCTCTGACCAGCGTTAAAGCGCAACGTGGTCACTTTGAGGATGGAGGTGTGCCTGACCCAAGCCATGGTAAAGTGGAGGGGCAGCGAAAAAGCAGAAGACCCCAAACGAGATGGATAGACACAGCAGAGGCCACAATGGGTTCCGGCATAAGACCCACTGGGAGGATGGGGCAGGACCGGCCAGTGTTTCGCTCCGCTGTGTACAGGGTCGCTATGGGTCAGAATCGGCTCAAAGGTATCAAGCAACAACTCTGGACGTGTGGTCAGAAGAGATCAGTCCCTGGAGAAGGACATCGTGCTTGGTCAAGTGGGGGAAAAAACCACCAGACACACAGCCATTGCGTCTGTGTGGACTCACAGCTCCCCCCACAGGTTTCCAAGGCTGTCACTGTTGACGGGAGTAGAAAGCCCAGTCTCTCTGAGGAGCTGCTGCTGGTTTAGAACTGCCCACCCTGCGGACTGCACGCAGCCCAAGGGTTCACCATGACATCACCAGGGGAACAGGCAGGCCCTGGACGAGATGGGCTGGCACAGTGGTGCCACGGGCTCGGGCATAAGAGCCATTATGAGGTGGCACAGGACCAGGTTGTGTGGCCTTCTGTTGTGCAAAGCTATAACAGAAGAGGGGACGGTCCGGTCAAGGTCACCACCACTCCCGGCACCTGGCCACCCAGGAGACCGGGCCTGACCCCAGGAGACCGAGCTGCAGAAGCAGGCAGCCACAGGGGTGACAGCCGTGCCCAGCCTGTGTCGTCTCCAGGTCGGGTTGCTATCAATTAGAACCCACTGCAGGGCTCCTAACAGCAAACAGCAAAGGCAGCCTGGGGCTGCTGCCAGGCTAGCTGTAGGCGGCTAACTGCAGCGTTGGTGGTTCAAGCCCACCAACTGCTCTTTGGGAACAAGTGGAAGCAGTCTCCTCCCCTACAGAATTACAACCTTGGGAACCTACATAGGACCACGACGAGTCAGAATGGGCTGGGTTGGCAGTGGGTGGGGCTGGGTGTTTAGGCATCAAAATGGGCGAAAGAAACCCCAGGAGGTGTTCAAAAGTGATGGTTACTGGAACCATGGAACTTTGAGTGGATTTTTCCCCTTTGACTCTTTAAATCTTTCCAATTTTCCAACAGTAAACACACATGAATGTATAGCAAGAGAGGAAGTTGGGGGGTGGGGAGTGTTTTGGTCTTTTGCCGTGGGCGGTGGTGGTATTTTTCTTCAAAATGATGAGGAATAAAATCACGCCCTAAAATTCCAGGTCAGGAAGAAAACACCTTTTTAATTGATCCCGACCCACAGGTCCTTCAGATAATAAAAATTGCATTGTCCAAAAATCCAACACATTCAGATACTATCAGAGAAACCAAATACCGCTGTGTCTACCTGCCTCAGCTCTGCGGAGGTCAGGGACATTTTAAGAGCGATGACTGCACAGAGAAGGGAGTATCATTGGAGATTCCGAGGCATGGTTCTTGCCCCCCACATGGGACACCCGGGCTCGATTCCTGGCCAGCACACCCCACACCCAGCCAGCTGCCCAGCCGCAAGAAGAAGCTTGCTGGGAGGCTGTGATCCTGAACAGGTGTCAGCAGAGCTTCTAGGCAAAGACCAGGAAGAAAGGCCGGGCAATCTAGTTATGAAAATCAGCCACAGAATGCGCTGTGGACCTCAGTCTGTTCCCATGGTCACGGGGCCACCAGGAGTTATTCGGAGTCAGCTGATGCCGCTGAGGACAGAGGTGCCGCATAGATGGCAGGGGAAGGGTTGTACATAGAAGATGATCTATTGCCAACAGAGAATGCTTTTTTATGGAAAGCAAAACTGGAGCTGGGCTGGCGTCCTTCCGGAAGAGGGCTTGCTCTTCACGGATAATGTCGCTGGGATCAGAGGAGGGGTTTCTACCACGTCTTTGATCTGGGTCTAAGCTTGTTCACAGTCACCGAGGGTCCTGGATAATCCCAATGACAAACAGTCTGGCGTCTGGGATAAAGGCAGTCCTTCTGGTCTTTGTAAGGTGGTGTTTGCCCAGCCTGGCCATCCCCAGGTGGCTCCGGGGAGCCCTCTCTCCGCGGCAGCCCCGTCTTTCTCTCCCAGGGCCTGGCTAGCTCTGACAATAGACCTCGAAGAGGGAGGCTGCTGCGTGCATACGGTAGAAAATAGAGAAGGGCATGGCCAGGTTCACCACAATGATCCAGGGTTCAAAGCCAAAGACGATCTCCTCTAAGCCGTTGTCATACTCCGGACGGCAGCCAAAGGCGGGGGGGATCCAAAGCTGTAAGAGAAGAGGGGGCGGTCCCGTCCCGGTCACCACCACTCCCAGCACCTGCCCACCCAGGAGACCGAGCTGCAGAAGCAGGCAGCGACGGGGACGACAGCCATGCCCAGCCTGTGTCGTCTCTGTGGATGCCTGACAGCCACTGGGCCCCCCGTGGACAGCTCCTCTCCCACACCCACAACGGAATGGTATCCATCCCGAATGAATACAGCCAAACCCACCCAGGTCTCTCCATGCCCACAGCCCCCAACCACCTCTCTGCCACCAGGGGGTGCCCCTGATGCACCCCACCCACGACCGTGGCGGAGTGAGTGTCTCATCATTCCCCTGCTCATAACTCAGCCAGGGCTCCCCACGGGCTTCAGGCAAAAGTC